TAAGTAGGTGCTTTAGACCACTGAGCCATCTCACCAGCCCCTTGAGCTCACTTTATAGTCCAGGCTGGCCTCAAACTTACAGCGAACTTCTTGCCTTAGCCTCAGTTCTGGGACTATAGGTGTCCAACACCATGCCTAGGTGTCACCTTTCATTCTTAGAATTGGAAAGGTTTACAGATATTTATTGAGGGAGGTGAGAGTGGTGGGGCTGGGATGGAGAATGTTTGGTCCAGATAGGAAGGCGAGTAGCAGAGGTGTTTTTGTTTTTATTTTTATTTATTTTTTTGGTGGAACCGGGGATTGAACTCAGGCCCTTGTGCTTGCCAGGGAGCGCTTATTCCACTGAGCCATCTCCCTGGCCCCCAGTTTGTTTTTTTTTTAAATGAGGTGTTTTGTTTTGACTAAAGCCTTGGTGAATACTTTCAGTATTCCCTAAAACCTCACATAAAGGCTCTGGTGTGTGTTTGGCAGTTTGTTGGTTTGTTTTTCCAGTACGGGGGATTGAGCTCAGGACTTTGTGCTTGCCAGGCAAGCACTTACTCTACTGAGCTATTTTCTCAGCCCTTTTGTTCATTTTTGAGCTGGAGCCTATAGTTGTGTGCCCAACCTGGCCCAAACTTGGGTGCTCCAGCAATCTTTTTGCTTCTTGCTACAAGTGCATGCTACTTTGCTGGGCTGTCTGTAACGGGTTGGTTGGTTGGTTTTCTTTTTCTTTTTTTTTTTTTTTTTTTGTATTTTAGGGAAGGGTCTACAGGTTGTTCAGGGTCTCATTACTAGATCACACTCATAGAGATTTGCCTGTTTACAGCCTCCCAAGAGCTGGGATTACAGGTGGGTTCTACTACACCCAGTCTCAGTTGACTCTCAGCTGACCCGGGAGGCGGGGTCGGCACTACAGGCCAGGAATCAAATCCCCGGCCCCTGGGTGGGTGGGTCGGTCCGTCGGTTGGTCGGTTTTCTGAGACAGGGTCTTGCTATATACATAGTTCAGGCTGGCCTTGAACTTACTGGCCTAGAACTTGTGATCCTCCTGTGTCTACTCCTCAAGTGCTGGCATCACAGTATCACTGCGACCACTCCTGGCCTGCCTGGCAGTTTTAAGTGATAGAGAATCATGGCTTAATTCTGTCTATATGGAAAACAATAACTGGTTTTAAATGAAGAGTGGATCATTTGAAGGTAAAATTCATGTTCTGCATGTAAGAAGAGGGTAAATGAGTGATGTTTGGGTGTGTCTGCTCCAGCCCACTGCTGGAGGGAGACTTAGCATCTTTAGTAGTAGGAGGGAAGGCCTAGAGCTCTTTGCAGGCCCCATCTGTTGGTTCTTTTTTTTTTGTTTTGTTTTGTTTTTGGCGGTAGGGGATTGAACTCAGGACCTTGTGCTTGCCAGGCAGGCGCTTATTTTACTGAGCTGTCTCCCCGGCCTGTTGGTTTTATAGACATTCAATTCTGTGAGAATTACTGAGAACTACTGAACTAGGAGACAGTTTTCAAACTGAATGCATGGTACTTCATTGTACTGTAGAATATGACTACTAATGTGAGTCACCTTAAAGGTGGGGAATGGCTAAAAAAAAAAAAGTGGGAATGGTGAATTAAATTTCACAAACCATGCTCTCATTCACAAAACGTTGGACTTGCTGAGACTCTTAGAGTGCTGGAGTTAGAAGCCTGCTTAACTTTGTTCAGACCTCATTTCATTTCATTTTTTTTTTTTTTTTTTTTGCGAAACCGGGGATTGAACTCAGGCCCTTCCACTTGCCAGGGAAGTGCTTATTCCACTGAGCCATCTCCCCAGCCCACCTCATTTCATTTTTGTAGCTTCAGTACCTGGAGCCTCTAGGTCCTCCATAAACACTGAATGAGTAAGTGCAGAACTGCAAAGGAGAGATCGGGAAGTGCTCAGTGGAAGTATTAAGCAGTTCACACTAGATTAATTTGTTCTTTCTGCAGTTGTACAACAAATAACTTATATTTTATACCTGGTAGTGTTTGTATGTTGGACATGTAGAAGAGAAGAAAGCTGAGTCTACCTTGTGGAGCTTACATTCTGAGTAGAAGAGCACAGCAATCAGGGAGGTAACACATCAGGGCTGCAAGACCAGCACTGACTGTCAAGGTAGCAGAGATTAGGAGATGCCAGTGGGAGTTGTGACAGGGAAGTGAACCCAAAGGCCAGGAGCTGGGTGCTGCTCACACATCAAATAGTACTGCCAGTGTTTATGTAGTTATTTGGCAAAGGTCTTTGTAAGCTGTAGGGCCCACAATGTGTAATTACCTAATTTGATCTTACAGTGCCCCTATGCAGCAGTCTGGATTGTTACCTTCTCTTTATAAAGGAGACCCTTGAGGCATGGGGAGAGGAATAGACTTGCCCAGGGCCTTGCTTCAGTCAGTGATGAAGTTGGGTCCCAAACTCAGTGCTTTTGGTCTTAAGCCTGGAACTTCTCAATGCCAGGAAAGAACTGGTGAATGTGGGAGTGTGGGAATTACAGTCTCCCCAAGAGCTGAGGTTGTCCCTGACTCTTCCCTGTGCCTGGCAGGTGCTATGACAAGCGTCTGTGGCCTCGCATGGACCTGAGCCGGCGGAAGTCACTGACACCACCTATGCTCAGCGGGGTGGTTCGCCGCCAACCCCGTGCCCTGGACCTCAGCTGGACAGGTGTCTCCAAGAAGCAGCTCATGTGGCTTCTGAATCGACTGCAAGGTAGGGGGAAGTAGTAAATCAGGATAGGGACAAGGCCAGGCCAAGGATGGAGTCTGTGACATACAGATGGGCTCTGTTTGGGAGAATGTTTTGAAGTTGGCTGTGTTCCTGAGTCTCACAGTGCATCAAGTATGCGCCTTTGACACAGATGTGTAAAAAAAAAAAATTGCTGGGCCGGGGGGGATGGCACAGTAGGATAAGCGCTTGACCGGCAAACGCAAGGATCTGAGTTCAATCCCTGGTTCCGCCAAAAAAAAAAAAAAAATGCTGCCCATTCATATCGGTGAAAACTTCACAACTCGAATGTTTGTAAGTTGGGGACTTACTGTATTGCTTTCTTTTCTTTTTTAATTTTTTTTTACATTTATTTATTTATTTATTTATGTGTGTGTGTGGGGGTGGCCAGCTCAGCCCACCAGGGGGCGGGGCTGGCTGGCATGTGGTGCTGGGGGATCGAACCGCGGTCCCTTTGCTTGGCTTAGCTTGTTCTAAGTAGGTGCTTTAGACCACTGAGCCATCGCGCCAGCCCCCTGTATTGCTTTCTGACACCTCCCCCAACATACAACAGGCCTACAGGAGTTGGTGCTTTCCGGCTGCTCCTGGCTCTCTGTCTCTGCCCTGGGCTCAGCCCCACTGCCAGCCCTTCGGCTCCTGGACCTCCGCTGGATTGAGGATGTTAAGGACTCCCAGCTCCGAGAACTGCTCTTGCCTCCACCAGACACCAAACCAGGTGCCATGTTGGTGTGCTCTTCTGTGGAATGGGTTGGCAAGATGGGAGTGTGGTCCTTCCGAGGCCTTCATGACTCATGCTGGGTGTTCAAGGAGTGGACGAAAAGGAAGCGAACATGCATTGGATATAGAGACCCTTCCTGAACTGTTTGTTCATTCACTGAAGTGCTGTGTGCTGTGAACTGTGTCTTGAAAGGACAGTGCTTTCCCGGGGAGTATGAGGCACAGTGTGAGCATATTGCTGGGTGGGAGGTCCATGCTGGCAGAAGCAGGAGCTGGGAGCAGAGGCCTGCTCACTTTGGAGTTCATAGGAAGGTGGAGGGGCAGGGCCCCTGGACTTCGGGGCTCTTTGGAAAGGCAGGAGAGATGGGATACCAGCTACATCCTCTCTGGCTCTCTTCTTTCCTCTGCCTTGGAACCAGAGGAATCATCCAGAAGGCCATATTTGCCCATGTCCCTGTGCTCTGTACTGCCATCATTTCCAGTACTCCTTGGATAAAGGCCAGTAGTTTTACCCCAGTTGCTGAGAACTAGTATAGTCTGGCTCCCACTGACTGCTGTCTCTTGTCTTGTCACCTAAGGCCTTTCCCCATTCCTATTTTTGCCTCTTATGCTCTGTCCTCCTCTATCTAATTGACACCTAAACCTCTCATCAGGCCTCAGTGTAAATGCCTCTTCTTAGAAGTCCCCAACTATCCCTTTCTCGTCCTCCTAGCATATTACTGTGCAGGTTTACTGGTGAAGATTGGTTTCCTCTCTGGTAGGCTCTTAGTAAGACAAGGACTATCTGCTTTCCCTGTGCCTTTTTTTTTTTTTTTTTTTACTTTTATTTATTTATTTGGTACAGTGTCTCACTGTGCAGCTCAGACTCGTAGTGGTCCTCTTTTTGGCGGAACTGAGGATTGAACTCTGGCCCTTGAGCTTGCCAGGGAAGTGCTTATTCTACTGAGCCATCTCCCTGGCCCCTTTCCCTGTATCTTACCTACTAGCAAGCTTAGTATCTGTTGAAAAAAAGAATTCAACGAACTAATAGACAGGAGAGATCCAGTTTTTGGGGAGGGTTCCCAAGGGGGGAACTCGGGGAACTTACTGGGCCCTGAAGTAAGAGAAAAAAGTATCTTCCTTCTGAAAGGTTCTTCATAGCAGTCTTTCTGGCTCCCTTCTTCCTGCCCCACTGCTCTTCACAACAGATCTTGAAAGGATGTAGGGATGCAGGATGCTTCCTATTTTCCAGTACTGAGCAAGCAGTTGAGTGATTATTGCAAGTCACACAAGCAGAGCTGGGCTAGAGCATTACCTGCTATCCACTCTTACTGGAATCAGTCTAAGCCAGAAAGAGAGGAGGGTGAGGTAGGGATTGGAACCACGTGTTCCATGAGGTGAGAGAGTGCCACCTGGCTGACAGACCAACATCTCTTCTGTGCTCAGTTCACTTTCTCTTTGTCTGGAGCTTGCAAAGAGGAGCTTTCCTGGCCCCTCAGGCTCTTAGGCTTGTGCAAATTCGGTCTTCACACTCACCTCTCCTGGCTCCCTGGTTTCCAGCAGGATTCATAAAATTCTACCTCCTAGCCCTTGCCCTCTGCCTAGTGTATTCCTCACCTACACTGGTACACTTTAAACCTTGAAGGCATGGCTTTAGTGCCACTCCCTCCTTACTGGCCCACTTCCCACTGCCAAGCCACAAGTGACCTCTCTTTGCTCCAGTGGCTGTTAGCTGTGGTATAGGTTGAGGGCATCTGCAAATGTTCCCCCTCTCAGTACTCTCAGATCCTAGGACCAGGAAGAGAGACTAGAATCTAGGGCAGTGATGGCAAACTTTGGAGTCTGCAGTAACACCCAGCTGGTTGCAGTCAAGAGTGCCAGAAGCTTGCCACTACTGAGGATGTGCCAAGTTGCACATACACAGAGGTAGCCTGGCATGTAACAAGTGATACGTTGGTGCAGGAGGTCAGGGTGGCAGTAGCTACTGTAGCCAGTAGTCACCAGGTGGGCTGAGTGCCCAGTAATGTGGTATCTGACATTCATTGAAGAAAAATTTTAGGGGCCAGGGAGATGGCTCAGTGGAAAAAGTGCTTCCCTGGCAAGTGGAAGGGCCTGAGTTCAATCCCTGGTTCTGCCAACAAAAGAAAAAAAAATGTTAGCACTATGCAGATTTCATGAAACGCTTAGAGGGAAGGTTTTGTGAATCTGGCATCTGATGGAGTTTTTGTCTGGCAGGCAGGTAGCCTTGTGTTGAGAGTTTGGATGTAGTCACCCAGCCTGGGTCTCTTGGCCCTGCTGTTTCCTAGTTGTGTGATCTTGGACAGAAGGCTTTATGGTGTGAGCCTCAGTTTTCCCATCTGTCAACATGGATGATGATCAGAGAACTTGTCTCCCAAGGCTGGCATTCTTAAAGTTTTGAGCTTTGGCTCAGTGGCATTAATATAGGAAGAACTGGTCAACAGTAAACTCCACTGGGTGTGGTAACGCATACCTATAGTCCCAGCACTTGGAGGCTGAGGCAGGAGGATCCCTATTTCCCTATTTCAAGGCCAGCCTGTACTTTACAAAGCAAGATACTGTCTCAAAAAATTTAAAACATAAAAGCCAACCTGAAGCATTCACACTAGAACTGTTAGAACTGCAGGGTGGAGGCTGCAGAGGAGGAGGGCAGAATATGTGCTTTGAGTTTAAGGAGGTGGCAGAGAGCGCTTCACCCTTGAGGTGAGGAAGAGGAAGCCTTTGCTCTCAGACCTGAAAGTTGGGCAGGGATGGTCTCTTGTGCAGAACCCCTTGTGGAGAGTTGGCGTTTTTTGTTCTGTTTTAAAGATTGATTGATTGATTGATTTGGGGCTGGAGAGATAGCTCAGTGGAATAAGTACTTGCCTGGCAAGCGAAAGGACCTGAGTTCAATCCCTGGTTCTGCCAAAAAAAAAAAAAAAAAAAAAAAAAAATGATTGATTGATTGATTGATTGATTGATTTGGTACAGGGTCTTGCTGCACAGCTCAGACTCATAGTGATCCTCCTGTCTCAGCCTCCCCGGTGCTGGGATTACAGGTGCGTACCACTACACCTGGTTTCAGTGGCTGGCATGGCATTGGTACCCAGGGATTGGATCTGGGTCCCTCTGCTTGCTAGGCCGGTGCTTAGACCACCACGCTATCTCCCTGGCCCCAGTAGCCCAATGTTTCAAGGTGAGAGAGAGGAATTGGGAGCTGAGCCATGGAGTAGACTTGACAGAAATGGAATGTTATACCAACAAGACTGGATTTCTTTGAGTTGTTCTCAGTTTCTAGTGGAGAGACATTGCCTCATTTGTATTTGAAACAAATTCTCTGAGTGCCAGAAGAGATCAGAAGGAGTGAGAAGACAGGAGCAGCTCAAAAAAAGTGGTGTGGACTTAGTGGTGCCCGAGGGGACTGGAGGGCTCCAGATGGTGACTCAGTGATTATGGGAGGGAGGAGTGGAGTGTGGGGTGGTTGTCTTTTTAAGGATTCCTGTGTTGAGTGAGTGGATGAAAATCTGTTGAGCATCCTACATTGTCTTAGTTGCTGGGGCTGCCACAGTGAAGAAAATGTCCTGCCTTCCTGGCCCTCACATTCTCATGGGGAGAGGAAGGTTAATATGAAAAATGTACATATATATCCCAGATACTAAGGGGAGGTACAGGGATGGGTGGGAGTCGAGGAATGCTTCAGATGCCTCTTGGAGGCCTCACAGCAGTGGCGGAGATGTGAGCCGAGGAGAGGAGGTGGTACTGGTATTGGGGAGCAGAGCAGAACCACTTGAGGCAGATGGTGGGAGCAGCTTTAGGGGGTGCTGAGGAACATGAATGGGGAGCCATAGTGGTTGGGGTAGGGACGGGTGGCCAGGAGTGCTGATTCTCTTCCTCTGTCCAGGGCAAACAGAGAGCCGTGGGCGGCTGCAGGGGGTGGCTGAGCTGCGCCTGGCAGGCCTGGAGCTCACAGATGCCTCCCTGAGGCTCCTGCTGCGCCATGCACCCCAGCTGAGCGCCCTGGATCTGAGCCACTGCGCCCACGTTGGAGACCCCAGTGTCCACCTCCTCACAGCTCCCACATCCCCACTCCGAGAGACCCTGGTGCACCTCAATCTCGCCGGTAAGCGTGGCCCCTGTCCATCCTGTGAGCCTTTTGGTCTCTGGCCAGCATCTCCTGCCTGCTTCTTTGCCTGGTCTCAGCTGCCACTGCCCCATTCCCAGGTTGCCATCGCCTCACGGACCACTGCCTCCCGCTCTTCCGACGCTGCCCGCGTCTCCGCCGCCTAGACCTGCGCTCCTGCCGCCAGCTCTCTCCTGAAGCTTGTGCCCGGCTGGCAGCTGCTGGGCCCCCTGGCCCCTTCCGCTGCCCCGAGGAGAAGCTACTTCTCAAGGACAGCTAGTTGGGTGCCCCCCACCCTCCCCCAGGACTCATTGGGAGCCTGGACCTCGGGCCTTCATTTCACCCCCTGCTAAGAGGCCAGGTTGCCCACCTCATGACTTGGGTTCCTCCCCAGGGCCTGGAGCCAGCCTCTTCCCTTTTCCCCCCTGCACTGATATCTCCGGGGGTCTCCTTCCCACCCTCCCTCTTCCGCCTGCTTCATTGTCCATCCCCTGGGGGTGTGGGTCAGAGGTCCTGGGGGTGCCGAGCCAAAGGGACAGTGGGAGGGGGTTGAAGTGCAAGTTGAGGGAGGGAGAATGGGAAGGGGGTGTGTGCATACAGGACCCTGGGGGCCAGGGCCTGGGGAGGTGGCAGATGGGTGGGGGAGGGGACAGCAGATCACCCAGGGTTCAGGGAACAAAGACCAGATAGTGGGGTGGGGGGTGGGGCAAAAAGGGAAACCAGAGGAGCAATTTGGGGATCCAGGAGTCAGAGGTAGAGGGACCTGGGCAGCCAGGTTGAGGGACGAGAGTGGGTGTGGGGGCAGTAGTGGCCCACTGGGGGTCACCCCTCTCCTTCCCCCTGCCCAGATTTCAGTTCCTTCCCTCACCCTGACTCCTTGAACGTCACTGAAAATGGCAGCTATTGCGAGGAGTGGGGGCCACGGGCCTACCTGCCGCTCAGCTCGTGGCCCAGGGGAGTGGTGAGGGGGTAACCCCAGCCCCTGCCAGCCTCTCCGCACAATACTTGAACATTCATCTGTACTGAAGTGTTACTTGAACCGGGGGAACCTTGAACCTGGGGGAGCCTGAGTGGGATCTGCAGCTTGGACTGAGACTGGACTGTGGGTGGCATGCGGTGAGCACCGAATACCCCAGCTCCAGCCTGCTAGACCCGAGTTGGGGGTGTGGTGTGTCAGGCCGCGGATGGGGAAGATGGGACTCCTCCAGCTTGGCTCTTCCCACTCTTTCATCGTCATGGAAGCATATAACCCATTTGCCCAGGGAACTGCCACTCCTGGTTGCCATGGAAACAGCAGCCAACGGACACCTCCCTATGCCAGTGCTAAGGCTGGAAATGGTCCCTCTTAGTTGCCATGGGAACTTAGTAACAGATTCTCGGCCTTCCTCTCCCTTACCCTTCACTCCGTTGTGCGGGTGGGGTTTCGGGTGGCCAAGGGGGAGCCGTGTTGTACCGTGGGGGGAATCTTATCCACATACCTCAGGTAACGGGGAGGCGCGAGGGTGGGGGGAGGGACTGGGCGGACCAAAGGCCGGAGGGGGAGGGGGCCCTGGGGACGGCGAAATGCTTGAGGAGGCCGCTTGTGGAAGGGGGACAAGGCAGCCCCACGAGGGCAAGTGGGGGACCCAGCCGGGTTGGGCCCCTGGGTCCCGGTTCTGTACAATATGGTTTGCTATAAAACTCAAACTTCCAGCCGGGACCACCGAGTGTGTGTGTGGGTGAAGTGAGGCTTTCAGAGTGGCACCTACTGCGGTCCCTGCAAAGGATTGGCTCACTTTTGCCCAATTCTCTCTTTGGGGAGGGGCCTAGGATTCTGAGTACCTGGTAGTTCATGCTGCAGGTGTTCTGAGAGCTGGGAACGAAGACTCTGGGAAGTCGACTCGCGTTTAGGCGTCTGGGCATATTGGGGGTGGGGGTGGGGGTCCTGTGGGACTTCTGCCTCCAGCCAGGGACTGCGGGGTCTCGTCCCGGGCTCCACCCCGTCATGTGGTCGCCTGACTCCGCCTCTGCCCCAGTTCCTGTTTCACTTGCAGCCGTCCGCTCCGGCCATCGAGGCTGCCCATTGACGCCGGCCGGGCTCCGCGGGGCCGCGTCTTCGCTGGCGCGTGACGCTGCGCTCCCGCTAGCCCCGTCGGGGAATGGGGCCTCCCCCTAGCTTGGGCCGAATCTCCGGGGTCCCCGAGGTGCCTCGGCCCCACCGTAACCATCCCCAGAATGAGGGGCGGTGAGGGGGACGCGGCCGAGCAGGCCCCGCTGAACCCTGAGGTCGAGAGTCCCGCGGGCTCGGCCACGTACCGGGAGTTCGTGCACCGCGGCTACCTGGACCTCATGGGGGCCAGTCAGCACTCGCTGCGGGCGCTCAGCTGGCGCCGCCTCTACCTCAGCCGGGCCAAGCTCAAGGCCTCCAGCCGCACGTCCGCCCTGCTGTCGGGCTTCGCCATGGTGAGGGGCCGCAGGGCTGGGGCTCGGGGTCCGGGCGAAGTGGACGGGGCTTGAGGAAAGGCAAAGGTGTTCTCTAACGGGTAAATGGAGCCCACCGCCCAAGAGACTAAAGAGGTCCTTTTCTATTTGGGGAGGCGTGTAAACAGGACCCTGGGAATACAAACTGGGTTGTAGGAACGTTAATCTCAAAGGTGTGGGGAAAGTAATTCCTGGCAGAAGTAGTTACTAAGTCTTCCTGCGTTTCAAAGGGAACTCCGCTGGGTGAGGGCTATGTCAACTGCTCTGGGAAACTAAACTGCAGGGAGGGGTCGCTTAACTGAAGGAGGACTTGTCCAAGGAAGGGGACTACGCCCTATAAGCTTCAAGAGTGCAAGCCTCTCAGAAGCACTCTGAGAAGATGGGTCCCTGTGGGAAAGGAACCTGATGGTTTTCCAGCTGATAAATTGCAGCTGTAGGAGGATGATAGCAGCTAACGGTCCCAGCAGTAGTCTCAGGAAGTGGGACCAAGGAAGGTCTCTGCACAGAAGCAACAGATAAGTTATTAAGTCGCGGCTTCTCCCTGCTAGTGGCTGGCAGTGTGACCTGGGACGGGCCTCTGCTCCCTCTGACGAGTGGGAAGTAGGCTGCATCTTCTGTAGCCTGGCAAGCACACACCCAGCATGAGCTGTGACTTGTCACCAGGAACCCTAGATCTGGACGGGTCAGAGCAAGACCACACAGCAGGTATAGCTCAGAGCAACACGCTAGTTGGACAGGTGTGGAAACTGAGGGTCACCAAGGGTTCTTAGCAGGGGAGAAGTGTAGAAGGAAGCCCTGTTCGTCTAGGGCAGTGATGGCGAATCTTTCAGAGCTTTCAATGATGCAAACAGCTTGCTGCGCCAGGGATGCCATCACCATCTAGGGGTTCCCTACCATCATCACAGTGAGGAGTAGGAGAAGGCGGGCAGTGGGGCTCCTTTACGAATGTGTTCCTGTATGGACAGCAAAGGCAGCGGAGGTGACTTGGGTTAGTCCCTGCTGCTCGGTGCCACAGCCTCTGTGACAGGAATGATGGGAAATCTGTAACCCTATGGGTCATCCTATGCCACCAGTGGTGGCAGACCTATGGCATATACTGCAATGCAACTGGCTGTATCATAGAAAGCTCTCACAAAAATAAGACAAAACAACCCCAAACATTTAGGGCTGGGAAGATGGCTCAGTGGAATAAACACTTCCTGGCAAGGGCAGGGGCCTGACTTCAATCCCCAGTTCCACCAAGAAAAAAAAAGCTCTCAAAAGTTTGCCAGCACTGTCCTAGACCTAAGTTCTCTGTGGGACTTTCCAGGACCCACAGACCAGCCCACTCCGTAGTTGGAGGATGATATCTGGGGGCTGGGAGTTGGCCCTTCGCTATCTGTACAGACTGCACAGGAAAGGGAACAGTCACTGAGAAACCTAGCTGAGCAGGGTCAGCCTCTTGGTCCAGTGTGCAGTCTAAAGGACAATCTGGCCTGCTATAGAACTTGCAAGTTGCTGAGGTGACGACAGCTTCAGAGTCAAGGCATCCGAAGGATCAAAAGACTAGGTGTGTAGGTTCTGGAGGCAGGCCTGACCCTAGTTGGTGGGGAATAACAAGGCTGGGCCAGGCCCTGGGAGGAACCAGAACTAACAAGCTTGGCCCAGATCCCTTTTTCTGGAAAACACCTGCTGACATCCACCATGGCCCAGTTTCTCAAAATATTCAGCCTTGTATTCCTGCCATCCCAGCTAAGCTGTGCATCTCCCTTCTCCCAGCCCCACAGCAGTGTAACACAGACAGGGAAGGAGCCAGATTCTGAAACTCAGGTGACCCGAGTTAGAATAACATCACACAAATCATATTCAACTCTACGAGGAATTGTGCTCAGGGCTGGGGCGGTGACTCAGTACGATAAGTGCTTCCCTGCTTCCCTGGCAAGCACAAGGGTTCTTGAGTTCAATCCCTGGTTCTGAAAAAGAAAAAAAAAAGAATTGTGCTCAGAGCTTATGTGCATCACCTCTGTTATCTTTTTTTTATTATTTTAACATTTATTGTGTGTGTGTGTGTGTATGTGTGTGTGTGTGTGGCCAGCTCAGCCCACCAGGGGGCGCGGCTGGCATGTGGTGCTGGAGGATTGAACCGCAGTCCCTGTGCTTTGCCAAGCTTGTTCCAAGTAGGTGCTTTAGACCACTGAGCCATCTCTCCAGCCCCACCTCTGTTATCTTGCAAAATAAGTAACGCTGCAGTGACCATTTTTATGAGAAATCTGAATCAGAGATGTTAGGATACCAACCCAAGGTCCCATAATAAATAAATGGCAGGATTTGTATTTAAGCAATGTGGCTCTAGAGCCCACATTTATACATCATTAAAGCAAGGTCATCAATTTAATATTATTTTGTTATTTTTGGCAGTACCAGGAATTGAACTCAGGAGCCTGCGCTTGCCAGGCAAGAGCTTAGTCTACGGAGCTATGTCCCCAGCCCAAGGTCACCAATTTAAATATTTGCAAAGGCCAGGTGCCAGGGAGACAGCTCAGTAGAATAAGTGCTTTCTTGGTAAGCACAAGGGCCTGAGTTCAATCCCTGGTTCCACCAAAAAAAAAAAAAAGCAAAGGCCAGGCAGAGAATATGAATGTCAAGTTGGCCAAATGGGGGAGTTAATTAAACGACCCCCTGGACTGTCCAAAGGAAAGGACCATAATTCAATTTGTGTGTGTGTTGGGGGGGGGAATGACCGGGGATTGAACTCAGGCCTCTGCGCTTGCCAGGCAAGTGCTTATTCCACTGAGCCATCTCCCCGGCCCCCCAGTGCAACTCTTTTTTTTTTTTTTTTTTTTTGGCAGAACTGGAGATTGAACTCAGGCCTTTGTGCTTGCCAGGCAAGTGCTTATTCCATTGAGCCATCTCCCCAGCCCCCCCCCCATTCAACTCTTAAGTAACAGTGATCATACAAGAATGTGATCTGGTGTAATCAGGTCTTCCAATTTCAGTAATTTCATAATAGGCATATTTACATGAAATCTCCTGAGGGTTGGTTGTTTTTTTTTTTCTTTTTTACTTTTTGGTGATAGGATTTGGATATATATAGTTCAGGCTGACCTTGAGCTCACTATGTAGCTGAGGCTGGCCTAGAACTTGTGGCAGTCCTCTTCAGCTGGGATTACAGGAGTTATCAATACATGCAGCAAAAATGAGCCATACTTTTTCTTCCTTTTTTTTTGGAGACAGGATCTTGCCTACAGTTCAGGCTGGCCTTGAGCTCACTTTGTGGCCCAGGCTGGTCTCAAATTCACAACTATCCTCCTGCCTCAGCCTCCCTACTGGGATTATAGGTGTCTGCCACCACACCTGGCCATACTTTTTTTTTTCCATTCATTAATTCATTTATTTATTTTTTTTGCGGAACCAGGGATTGAACTCAGGTCCTTGTGCTTGCCAGCCAAGTGCTTATTCTACTGGGCTATCTCTCTAGCCCCATGCTTTTTTTTTTTTTTAAACAGAATCTTGCTCAGTAGCCCAGGATGGCCTTGAACTCACTATGTAGTCTAGTTTAGAACACTGCAATCCTCCTACCTCAGCCTCCTGAGTGCTCAGATTACCGGCATGTGCCATCATGTCTAGCTCTTGAGCTTTAAAAGTTGGCAGGTGATGACCTAAATGTACTGTCGCAGTGCTGTTTGCTTAGGACTTGGCCCTGCAGCTAGTTGGTTTGTGCCCTTTATTATAGAACCCCTTGCCACTCTCCACACACAAGCCTTCCTGTTTCATCCTCCAAAAGACGGGCTTTCAAAGCACTCTTTTTAAAAAAATTGTTTTTAAAAAATATATTTGGTATAGGGTCTCACTATGCAGCTCAGACTCATAGTGATCCTGTTCTCAGACTCCCTAGCACTGGGATTCCAGGTGTGTGCCACCTTGCCTGGACTCAGTCACTGGCTCAGCTTGTCCTGGGGCGGGGTCAGTGTGACGTGGGGTACTGGAGATCAAATCCTGGTTTCTGTGCTTGCCTGAGCAGGCACTTAGTCCACTGAGCTGACTCACACTCTTCAACACTGAGAATTCTGTTATTGATGTGAGTGTTCCTATTTTAAGTGACAAAGATTATTTAATAGAATGGTTTTAGCAGGTGTGCATGCCTGTAATCCTAGCACTTGGGAGGCTGAAGCAGGAGGATCATTGCAAGTTTGAGACCAGCCTGGGGTGCAAAGTGAGCCCAAGGTCAGCCTGAACTGCCTAGCAAGACCTTGTCTCAAAAAGGAGGGCCAGCCAGATAGCTCAGCGGATTAAAGCATTTGCATAGGCAGAGGCAGGGACCCCATTAGATTCCCCCAGTGCCAGCCCCACCCCCAGGGTGCACTGAAATGGTGATTGAGATGGTGTGGTGAAAAGAAAAAGAAAAAAAAAAAAATGGGGCCAGAGAGATGGCTCAGTAGAATAAGCGCTTCCCTGGCAAGCGCAAGGGCTTGAGTTCAATCCCCAGTTCCAAAAAAAAAAGGGATGGCGTGGTGGGTGGTGGTGGTGCTTGGGAGGCTGCAAAATGGATCACTAGAGTCCAGTCTGTGTATAAGACCTTGTAGACTCGCTACTAAATACATTAAAAAAATTTTTTTTAAACCAAAATATTGGGGGCTGGGGAGATGGCTCCGTAGAATAAGTGCTTGCCTGGCAGGCACAAGGACCTGAGGTCAATCCCGGGTTCTGCAAAAAAAAAAAAAAGCAATTTTTCCAGGCATGGTGTTGGATGCCTGTAATTCTGGTACTCAGGCAGCTCAGAAGAACTGCTTTGAATTCAAGGCTAGCATGGGCTACAGAATAAGTTCAAGGCTAGTTTGAACTACATAGTGAGACCCTGTCTCAAAAAGAAAACACAGTTGGCAATTTATTTTTTAAAAAGCACTGTTGGCAAAGCATGTCTGCTATCCGACTTTGAATTGTAATGTGCCAATTTCCAAACTCTGGCCTTGGAGTTTTTTTAAAAAAAATCTATTTGGTATAGGGTCTCACTACACAGCTCATACTCTTAATGATCCTCCTGTCTCAGACTCCCCAGAACTGGAATTACAGGCATGTGCCACCACACTGTTGCATATCGAGCCCAGGTCCTTGCGCTTGCCAGGCGGGCACGTAGCCCGCTGAGCTATCTCCCCGGCTCTGGGCATTGGATCTTAGCATCAACTACTATGCAAACACCATAGTCCCAGCACTGTTTGTAGCATTCAATGTGTGTTATTTAATTTTTCCAACAATCACATATGGCAAGTAGGTACTACTTTTAATCCCCCATTTTCCAAATAGGAGACTGAGGCACAAGGAGAACTAAATCACTTGCTTAAGATTATATAGCTGCCAAGGAGATAGCTTGGTAGAATAAGCACCTTCCTGGCAAGCAAAAGGTCCTGAGTTCAATCCCCGGTACCAC